AATTCTGTTTTTATGACTGGATTCCGCGATTCCGTCCACGTTTTCTGCATCGTGAATATCATAGGGCCCTAGGTGCAAAGGTGCCCGTACTTTTTCCTATGAAGGGCTAAAAATCAAAACATGATCGAGGGCCGTGGGCTGAAAGTAAATGCTGCATTATATCCAAATATATTAAAATTTTTTAATTAATTTAATGTATATTCTCTACATATCAATGACTCTGTTCCACTTTTGGGCTGCGGGCCCAGTTTGGGCTTCTCTGCTTTAGTGGATAATAGCTCATAGCACATATTTTGTTGGCACGAAATGAAAATCGTCCTTATTTTTCTAAATGTTTTTTATCATATTATGAACAATTCATTTGTGCATACATTTAATTTAGTATTTTTTACCTTGTAAATGACCTCGTTTCAATCTGAAACCGCAGACTTCTCTCTGGTGATGTATGCCGGACTTCTCCATCACAGTGTGGAAGAAAAGATCCGCCTTTACTTTGATTTCATTGCAACTTTAACGTCAAGTCTACATAAACTATTCTGGATAATTGTTATTCACATTAAATAAATGCCAAAGGTTTCCCAGAGGGCCTGGGAATTAAAATGATAATTAGCTGTATTTCAAAGCTGCCCCTCCCATTGACAAAAGTTTACTCATAGTCTGTTTGTTTGGGTGTATATCTGTTTGAAGTAGTTTAGACTGGTAGAGTGTCAGCATTAGCATTGTCTGTCTGTGTGAATGGAGGGCGAGGTGATGGGCTGATGAGCTTGTTGGAGGAGAGTTAGATTTGTCTTGCTAATGAGAGCCACCATGAGTGCAGGGATCAGGTCTCCGCCTGGAGCAGGATGGGAAGCAGACAGCACTAAATGTCCTATGAAGGACATACTGCTGTCGTACATGCCCTTGAGTGCCCATGAAGAAAGACATCCAGAGAGGATGCTATTGGAAAACAAAATGGCATGTGGATGCACTACAGGAGCATAATAATGTAGACAAGGGTGACAGATGGTTTGATTCCAGGGCTGCATGAAAATAGAGAAAACTTGCATTGTGATTTTTTTCCCCCCCTCTGTATGTGTTTGTGTTTGTTTGTTTGTATATATATTGCGATATGAAAAAAAAGGAATTTTCACCAGATGAATTGTATAGCTATATTTGGAAAGATTTAAACATTCTGTAATGACTGGGCTGATTTTGTAGGAGAGTGCACATGCATACATTTTTTTTTTTAAATTTTATAAAAAATATTAAAGTCAAGTCACCTTTATTTATAAAGCGCTAATTCCAGCTACATTTAATCAAGAAAGCTCTCTAGAAAAAACAAACAAACATTAATAACATTGTACTGAGAAATGATCATTTACACACCCTCTTACTTTTCAAAACAAATATGACTTTCATACTTTTATGGAACTCCATAAAAGTGAATGGTGACCACAAATGTAATCATTTTCAGTGAATAATGGCTTAAATTTTAATCTATTCCTTACACGAGGCTATCATGTGGCTACTTTTCATGGTGCTTTTTTTTCCCTTTTTGCAATTGGGTGGCCTTTGGTTTCCAATCTGTTTTCATTGTATGGAAAAGAGCAGCGTATTCTTCAAAGCATCTCCTTTTGCTTTCCTCAGATAAAAGAAAGCCATACAGGTTTGGAATGACACAGACATTAGTAAATGATGACATAATTGTCATTTTGGAGTGAACTATCCCTTTAACTTGGTGGAAAAGCAATTTTTTGTTGACACCTTTTATTACAGTACTCATGTGAAGAGGGAGATGTTTATTTGTGTCTGGGGGTTTTGGACGGTTCTGAAAGAGGAAGAGGAACCCCCTCCCTGTGCCCTCCACTCTATTCTCCAGAGTGGGAGAGAGAATGATTCAGAGCAGCACTTTATGTGATTATTTATTTATTGATGTGCTGTATGGTTTCCATGGCAGTGGGTATAATAGTGGGCAGAGAAACATTCACTCTCCTAGACTCTCAGCCCTCTTTTACTTGAGCTGATGATTTATTTATAAATATTCTGTGTGCTTTTCATGCCTGTCCATTAAAGCCAGTCGCTTAGTCTGTTGCAGGTAGATTTCTAATTGATCTCTGAGTTTCTTCAAGCTGAATGGGGCCACCATCACTTATCCTCTCCATCCTTGTCTGTCTTATTACATGGAGCTGATAATAGACTTGCACGTCTTCGATGGATGTCTAAGAACCCTGGAGTGCACACTTTAGTTGTTCTGGTGTGGTATCATCTTGAAGATGAGGCTCATGGTTCTCTCAGATACTTCAGTAGACACCTAAGAGGCCCTTAATTCTGTCCTAAAGGGCCTCTTAATTCCCTCAAGAGAAATGGTGCAGGCAAAGAGATTGCAGTGTTTTAGCGATAAAAGAAATGGGAAAAATGAAGCCATCTAGTATTATGAATATAACACATTTGACCCAAAATGTATGATTTCATTGCCTCATTGGCTTCTGTTATGTTCAGTGGTCATACTGTAGAATCCTCTGCCACACAATTCCTTTTAAATAGGGGTTAAACGGATCATAGTTCATCAATGCAACACAGAGTTGATTCTTCTTTCGCATCTCTTTGTGTTTGAACGGACACAAATACACATTAATTATGTCAAAATACCGGTCTCGACAGTCATTCTCGTAAACGCATTCAATTATGTGAACAAAAACACCTGAGAAAGAAATCGGATGTATATCATTATAT